TCATAGTGGCCTTGTCTGTTCTTCCCTTCCTTTGAGACCCTATTCACACATCCCTTGTAACTCTTAACTCAGATTCACACACCAACTTAACAGTTCCACTTTTGTGTCACCATAATACTAGCTTATGCCATCTATAACAGTTGAAATCTGTCTGTTTCTACTAGACTTTGTCCCATTTGAAGAAAAACATGTTTTATTGATATCCCCATCCCATTAAATGAGTTAATGTGAAGATCAGATGTTCAGTATATGTGTGAATGAATTACACATTGTGTTGTGCTTTGAAAAGGAACTAAAAATAAACTTTACATTTGTGTATAGATCTTTGTTTTGTAAACATTAGTGTTTTTTGGGTTTTTTTAAACAAAGATGACCGGTAAGGGGATCTTAACCCTTGACTTGGTGTTAATCAGGACCACACTCTCCCAAGTGAGCCACGGGCCAGCCCTAACATTAGTGTTTAAATGATGCATATGGCATAACTACATGCAGCATTCTAATAATATGGACTAAGTACAGCATTCAAAAACCTCCCTCTTGGGCCGGCCCGGTGGCGCACTGGATAAGTGCACCGCTTGGGAAGCGCGGCGGCGCTCCCGCTCGAGGGTTCGGATCCCACATACAGACCGGTTCCCGCTCACTGGCTGAGCGAGGCGCGGGAGCAACACCGAGGGTTGCAATCCTGTTGCCGGTCCCCGGTCTGGTACGGGGGCGACACTGAGGGTTGCGATCCGTTGCCGGACACGGAAAAAGACAAAAGACAAAAAAAAAACCTCCCTCTTTACTGGATTTTGTAGATCAGTGACCTCATTTTTTTTAATAGGAATAAGTGGGAAACTTAGATAGTAAAATTTTGTAACTACTTGAGTTGACTTGAATAGTTACTGATAGAATGCAGTCCCTTTTTTTTTTTTTTTTTTTTTGACCAGTAAGATCGCAACCCTCAGCTTGGTGTTGTCTGCACCATGCTAAGCCAGTGAGTGCACCGGCCATCCCTATATAGGATCCGAACCCGTGGCCTCGGCGCTACCAGCACCTCACTCTCCTGAGTGAGCCACAGGGCCGGCCCAGTCCTTTTTCTCATTAAGACCTAACACATTGTGTTTCTCAAATGTTTTAAGTACTTGGAGTAGTAAAACAGCTTCTAATGAAAGCCAGAGGAAGATTTTGATGTTCTTTTTGAAAATTAGTATAATTTCCTTTTCCAGCTTATTTTGGCATTTATCAAAATGAGTCTTTAAGATTGCTTGCCTTAGGTTGCTACTGTGCCCTCACATTGGGTGGTGACAAGTAGAATGGCGTACAGTATAAAATGTGAAGATTCTGGATTGAATTTCATTTTGGTTTAAGCTCCACAGGAAACAGCTGAAAATGGAGTGTCTTCTGTGGTATTGACATTTTTATTTTTGTTATCTTTTTAGGCACTCAAGGAGTTGCACCTGGCCCTGTAATTGGGCTCCAGGCACCATCTACTGGTCTTCTAGGTGCCCGACCTGGCCTAATACCACTCCAGCGCCCTCCAGGAATGCCTCCACCTCATTTACAGCGATTTCCTTTGATGCCACCCCGTCCCATGCCGCCACACATGATGCACAGAGGTCCACCACCAGGACCAGGGGGCTTTGCGATGCCTCCACCCCATGGAATGAAAGGTCCCTTTCCACCGCATGGCCCCTTTGTTAGGCCTGGTGGAATGCCAGGGCTTGGGGGCCCAGGGCCAGGTCCAGGGGTGCCTGAAGACAGAGATGGAAGGCAGCAACAGCAGCAGCAGCAGCAGCAGCAGCCACCACCTCCACCACAGCCACAACAGCAGCAGCCGCCACCATCACCACAGCCGCTTCCAACTCAGCAGCAGCCACAGCAGTTTAGAAATGATAACAGGCAGCAGTTCAATTCAGGTAGAGACCAAGAAAGGTTTGGAAGAAGATCTTTTGGAAATAGGGTGGAAAATGACCGGGAACGGTATGGGAACCGTAATGATGATAGAGATAATAGTAACCGTGAAAGGAGAGAGTGGGGAAGAAGGAGCCCTGACCGGGACAGGCACAGAGACTTGGAAGAGAGAAATAGACGCTCTAGTGGGCATCGAGACAGAGAAAGAGATTCTAGAGATAGAGAGTCTCGTAGAGAGAAGGAAGAAAACCGAGGAAAGGAGAAGCCTGAGGTGACAGACAGGGCAGGTGGTAACAAAACCGTTGAACCTCCCATTAGCCAAGTGGGAAATGTAGACACTGTTTCAGAACTTGATAAGGGGGAGTCTGAGTCCGCAGTTGTAAAACCTTCCGAAGAGTTACCTGCTGAGGCTACCTCATCCGTTGAACCTGAAAAGGATTCTGGCTCAGCAGCAGAGGCTCCTCGTTAGAGACTGGAATTTGTCAAAGTGTGACGGTGACACTTCCTGGAGTGTAGAGCTTGAGGTGTACAGATGCTGTATAATATTTGCTCCTGCTATATCACAGCCCCGCGGTAGTTGGTGGGGAATTGTAAGCAATTTGATTGCTTCCCTATTTAAAAATAGCCACAAAATAACAAAAAATACTGAAAATATGAATAAATATTACCCTTTTTGCTGTAACTTTTTAAAAGTTTTGACTTTAAAAAGTTTACAAGTCGTAATTAGAAGTGCTCTCTATTTTTTTTTTTTTTTTTTAATTTAAGACAAGGTAATGGTGAAAGCTCCTCAAACAATAGGGATGTTTTTAATAAACTCTATTTTCGTAACAAACTTTAATGTGTGCTATTATTCCTACACTGCATTAAGGTGGAAAGGATTGTTTACCATCAGAGTTTGAGCTGTTAATACTATATTGAAGTCTAAATTAGACTTGATGGAAATAGACTTTTGTAGTTATTCTCAAACACTTTCATTTGTAATACTTTTGATTTTTAGCATTTCAGTCATAAGATATAGATTAGTGGTTTTAATGTTAATGGAAAAACTTGTTAGTGTTTGCAATTCAGTCAAGGTTTTCTTTTCTTCCATTAGCTTTGTAGTAAATGTTGCCCTAATTTGTAAACGGTTTTTTTGTTGCCCTAATTTGTAAAGAAATTTTACTGGGGGGTGGGGGTGGGGAGGGATTATCTGATTGCCTGGGTTACTTACGTAGATTGGGTATTTTTTACCATCCCATTAAATTTTTCAGAAGTGTAAAAAAAAAAAAATCAAGATTAACATTTGCAACCTAAAAGCTTTTTCTTTTATGTTTAAGGACTTAAATGCAACCTATTGTTTCCTCCAAGCCTTTCCTGTTGCCTTTCTTGACCATTTTAACTCCCCTGCTGGGCAGTGGTAGACTGAACTTTTTGCCACATGTACTTTTATCTCTTTTGCTTAAAATTGTTGGGTTAACTAGGAAAAATAGTTGTGGGTTATCCAAGAATTGTCACATGAAGACATCGAAAGCCGAATCAAGCTACCCAGTGCCAAAATCTATGTTACACAATTTAAGTATTTATGGCCTTGTTGAAGCTTTTTTTCTTAAGTTAAATTCTTAAACTGTCCTACTTTCAAGTGTGCTGAGTAGTTAACTTTTTCTTTGCCCTCATCCCCAGGCAAAGCTGCTTTTATTACTTTGGTTTTGAAATAGTACTTTACAGCAAGATCTTTGTTTTGATGGGGAGAATATATCTAGGCCAATGTTCTTGTACTCCGCCTTTAGAAAGAAAATCCCGTTTCATATTCATGGACTTGTCCTTAGTTTCACGTTGACCCATTGAGGACTTGCAGCCTATATTTCCAATTGAAAGTATTAAGACCACTGTCTGCACACGAAAGACAAATTACTATTAACTGGTAGTGTCATACTTGAGGGCTTAAAAGGTCACGTTAGTCCCTGTATTTGAGTCATCCCACATATGTAACAGGCAGTATACATCAGTGAAATGTGTTAAACACTAAGTTCTCTACCTGAACAGTTATTTTAACCACTTACTGTGAGCATTTTGTTCTTTATCGCAGTTTTAAAACTCGGATTCCAACAGTACATATTGTCTTTTTCCAATTAGCTTTTCCTCTCCTAAATGATGTACATTTGGTAAAATACATGATATTTTTATGAATGCACAGGATTGTAGCTTATTCCTGGCTTCTCTATCAGAAATAATACTCTACAATTTTCAATTGAATAAACTGTAATCCAGGTAATCAAACCTGAGTTAGATTAACATTTCATTTAAAAGCATTCCCTCACAGGTACATATGTATTTACATTAAGAGAAAGACGATTTCACTAACTGGGTGTTTAAATTCTTGTAACATTTAAACACCCAGAACCCACAATCAAACATTTCCTTGGTTCCATCTTACAGTGCTGAATTTCTTTAAAGGGCTAATTTGAAAACATTGTGCCAACATCTTTTAGAAGTAGAATATATGTGCCAGTCTGGCAGGTACATAAATTAATCTTAATTTTAGCTTGTATTATAACCTGCCTTTGACATATTTACTAAAAGTTATCAAAAGGCTTTCTTAAACCACAACATATACTTTAAAAAATAAAATTAGGTACTTTATGAAATCAAAATGCTTGGGACTAAGCAGGGAAATTTCCCTAAAGCTGACAAAGGACAGCTTTAGGACAGTCTAAGACAAAGTTTGGGTTAGTCGTAGCTAAAAGACCAGCTAGCTGCTAAAAATTTATACATCTTGGTGGCCTCACTTAAAACACTTTGAAAATAGAATGCTATGAAACAGTTACTATTACTACATCTATTCCATTCAAGCTCTATGTATAAATGAGTGTCAGAGCTAACTTAGAATTTCAATTTGGATATAACAGGCTCAAGATAAGTGCCATACAGGGTGTATATTCACAGGTTAGAATGAGAATTGAAGAAATTCAGACAAATTTAATATCCATATATGATTAACTCTAGCAAAGTACATGTCATTGAAACATTTTTAAAATTGCTTTAAGTACCTGTAATGAGAAATGATTTATGATCACTTCAAAGATATGTATGGTTTTATAAAGCTCATATTCAATTAAAAAGTCACACAATTACATTTTTAAGATTACAGTGTTTAATGTTTATTTTCTACAGCTAGCAGGATAACAGACAAGTTACTGGGACTCAGACCACATCCTAGGGAATGTTTATTGGGCGATCCCAATTACACCACAAGCCAAACGACTTCCAGCGTTTCCCGTCTTTGTACTTTCTTCATTTCCACCTTTGCCCAAGTCATCTGCTTTTTCATGGACCTTTAAAAGATTTTAAAAACATAACTTTGGGCTATCAAGTAATTACCACTTTTTCCCAGCAATACCCAAAAGACTTAAGAACTGTACAATACTAGAAAATGACATGTTAAAATAATCCTACTAATAGGGAAATAAACTAATATTTAATCTAGTAGTTTAAAAGTAGAAACTGCTACTCAAAGCTTTTCATGGTGCAGACGTGCTACCTTTAAACACTAGCTAAGTGTTGTTATCTCTAAATGAAATACTAAAAACGTAGACAACAATGTTATAGACCACCACATACTGGTCTTCATCTTTCATGATAAATTATAGTAATCTCAGTTACAGTAGTCATTCTTTTATAATATAAATTGCTTTCGAAAAAAAAAGAAAGTGAAGACAAACCAAAAAAACTATCAAAATTTCATGCTTAACTATAGGCTGATAAGTAATCCTAAAAATATCTAAACTCTAACAGTAGTATTTTACATTTTGTTCAAATTATTTTTCTGCTTCACAACTATGGCTGAAGAAAATTCTAAGCATAAAGGGTCAACTGAAAGGAAGTGACTACCAAATATTAACTGCCCTTGGGTAGGAAAAAGCATCTTGGTATTTTGCAGGAACCAGATGCAGCTTCCCAAGGTAACCTGGGGCAACTGCTACCCACATGTTACATGATGATAAGTTGGAGACCTGAATGAAAATAATGAGAACAATGGACCAGATTTTATTTATTATTATTATTTTTTTTTGTCTTTTTGTGAGATCAGCCGCACCGCGCTCAGCCAGTGAGTGCAGCTGCCATCCCCATATAGGATCCAAACCCGCGGCGGGAGCGCTGCTGCGCTCCCAGCGCCGCACTCTCCCAAGTGCGCTACGGACTCAGCCCTGGACCAGATTTTAGACTTAACAAAATGTTCTCTTTAACTACAAAGAGAAAACCCAATTACGGCAAGAAAATCTGGCCATTTTGAAACGAAAGACTATTGTTTCCCCAATTCAGATCTAACATGGTCAAATGTAATCTGCTTTTTACTGCATCTTAGCAGAACAGTGTTCCTAATTAACCTAGATAAATTAATTCATATTCACTGTAACCATCCAATAAAATAAGAGCTTTTCCAAAACTGAACTGAAAGTACACTTTATGTGGATCTTTAGAAAACAGGACTAACAATCATGAAGTTGTAAAAAGACACATGACTATATGTTAGAAGAAATTTTATGCATATCCTTATTACATGAAAACTTACCACCATAGTGCGGCCAATGATGGAATGGTCTCCTGAAAGTGAGATCACAGAATCTTGAATAGACACATCAGCTACACCATCTTTGTTCGCAGTCACATTGCCCAGATCTCCAACATGCCTAACGTTGAAAAAGCATCAGATGAATTAGAACTGATTTCCATTTAACATCCAGATAGTTTATGAGCTAAATTAAAATTTTAGTCAAATACATAAGGGTGGGCTAAGAGGTGTATATAGTATATATCAAATAAGACCCAGTTTTACACATTGGCAAAATTTTGGAAACACATAGCTCTTCAAATAAGGCTTCAAGTCTACAAAGTTACACTCTGGGAAGAGTCACTGGATGGGGGCGCACCTCTCATTTCAGAAGTAAAGTACCAAAGGGTAAACTCAGTTATTGGGTTATACCTGTTAATTATTGGCATAGCTAAGAAAGCTATGCCTCTAGGCCTCTGTTATAAAAACAAATTAATCCTTATCCTTAAATTTATTATTTTCCTGAAAGGCTTTCAGAAAACATACACATACAAATGGAGTCTCAACTAGTTTTCAATAGTGAATTTTTATCTAAAAAAGCATCCTATGTTTCACAATGATGATTTATTTTGCTAGTGGTTGTCAGTAATGTTATTCATAACATTTCCTGTATTAGTTTCCTTTGGCATTTGTATTAGTTCTATATTCAATAAATGCTACAAAACCAAGTCGTTTTAAGTGTTCCCATTTGTCAACTCCTTAGCCCAAGGAGGCAGTAAGCCATTCCAGCAGCACTTGTGGTTGGTGGGGGCAGGGATTGGGGGAGTATGTGGGAGACAAATACAAAAGCAGAGGTAGAGGAGACCACTCAATTATTTTAGAAAGCTATTTGCAAGTAGTATACCATATTGACCCCCAAAAGCCATCACCATTATTGTAATAAGAGTTAATTATCTTGTTGCTCACCTCTCTTGATCCCCTGGCCCACCATGTTTTTTGGATAGAGGATTAAAGTGAGGACCTGCACTGGTACAGCCTATTTACAAAATAAATAAATAAAGGCAGCTAAATTAGAACCAAAATTCAAAATAGATTCTAAAAGGATACTGATCATTGCTAAAACCTCCTATGGAGAGAAAGCACTGGTCTGCATCGTGATTTCCAGGATAACAAAAACAGGAAGCAACACCTTGGTATAACTGGAATGAGAAGGGAGTTCTAACTACTGTCTTACACTAAGTTAAGAGCCTTGTCTGGGCTCTGGCTTCATCACTGTAAAATAAAGGGGCTTGATCTTCAATGGCTCTTCTATTGTGAAAATGCCATGATTATGATCCTAGTTTTTAAGAAGGCAGCATGTCTTAACTCCAAAAAACGTATCTCCCCAGCAGCATACTTGGAAGAGCTCTCCTGTCTGTGGCCTTCACTTGGTGCAGGCAGAATATTAAACAGCACCTCATGTCCAAGGCCAAGGCTGATGCCTCACTCAACTCCAGGGGGCGGGATTCCAACTACATCCTATATTAAACACTCCTGTGTGCCACAGAATGGATGCCATTTGCACAGAACACAATCACGACAATGAAAGAGGTCCTTTCATGACATGGCTTTCTTCATTCAGCAGCCAATGGAAAGCTTCCATTATTTACAGCTTCTACCCCACCACCCTCCAGTCCCACACAAGGAGAGAGGCAGCTAAAGGAAGTAGCATACATAGCATACACAGCAAGTTGAAACTACAGCACAATCACCTCCCAAACTAGAGGCAGTAAAACCAAGAAACAACTTGGGAAATGACTGAAATGGGTCAAATTTAGTCATTAAATCACTATTTAGAACTAAACATGGGACATTAAAAACAAAGTTCCAGCGAAGTGAATCAAGTTCTCATCATAAGTCTGTAAATACAAAGTATAGATTCTTACTCAAATACGGCAAAAGATAACTAAATGCAATTTAACCCATAAACTTTTGTTAACTTGCCTCTAATCCCAAATTGAGAAAACTCCTTCCAAAGCACCAGTCTACGTTTTATCTTCAGTTTGTATCATACTTGTACTTTTGTCCCACTCATGGATCTTGTGTTGGGCTGTGGGGCTATTCTTATATATTGTAGTGCAAATAAATGCAGACCCTGTGCTTGAAACCTCCACCCTTAACTCCCAGCTCACAAACACCTGGGATCATTACAGAAGGTAAGAAAGGAGCTCAACTTTTTTGTTTTGGTTTTCTATTGTGTTCTACAAAAAAACACCCTCTTACATAATCAAGCCATAATAATGACAAAAAACATGAACGTGTTCCACTTTCCACACTTTGAAGTTAAAGATCAGAGTTTCATGGTTAAACTCTTTAGGATTGACCTTAGGTAACATTTTAACTTGACCTTTAAAAGAAAAACATTGAAGGTTTTCAATGTTTAGGGGTAATGTTTAGGGATTACTTTACTCAGTCCTGTTTTTCTTACTAGGTTAAACAAGTATGGGCCATTAGCCCAGCACAACACCCACCTTGTGTATTATCTCCAAACTGATGGACATGGAATCCGTGCTGGCCTTCAGTCAATCCTGTAATGCGTCCGGATACCACAACTGTCCCATTTTCCTTTATTCAAAGAAAAGCGCATATAGTCTGAGAGAGCAAGTGCTTCTGAACAAAGAAAACAATTGATTTACCTTTAACCACTAAGTGAAGTGAAAAGAACACAAACTTGGGAATCCAAAAATCTGTATCCAAATCCCAGGCTCTCCACCTTCTAGCCAGTGAACCTCCAGTAAGCTGCTTAACTGCTCTATCAAAAGGGATATGATAACCTTGTTCCAACACTCTCTGGCTTATTAAATAGCATATAAAAAGCACCTAGCGGAGTGGCAACCACAGTGAGTTCCTAAGTGTCAGATTTATATACTTTGGAGGGTTTGACTCTTTTACAATGAATATGTAATATGAATAAGTACTTTATAGTAAATACTTCTGAATAGGTTGAACAGGTTCTAGAATAACTAGAGGTGCTGTTTTCTGAAGTCTTTTTAGGCACCAAAACCTAGATAACCTTTCCACTCCAACAAAAAGAAAGGACAACACTAAAGCAGTTGGGGAAAAAAATCAAGCAGTTTCAGGGAGCGATGGGTAATACTGCTGGCGTGGCTACATACAGAAATCAAGGAAGTTACTATCACAGCTACAAACAGATCTTAGGAACTTAAATTGTACGCAGCATCCACACCACACAGTAATACACATGTTGGGGGTCTCTGTTTTTAGCTTGTATTTTAAATAGCCTGGGCCAACAGTTACAAGAGGAATTAGCCCTTAAGATTTGACTTCCATCAGGAAATACCATTGCTCAAAGAAAGTATTCTGGCAATTGCTCCCCCTCAGTTTTTTGGTTTTTTTTCCTTTCTGAGAATAGAAACTACGACTCTTCTAAATACAAGCTTTAATTCTGAAAAAAACTCAAATGTGAATGCTGTCCCTCAAAATACACTGTGTTATCAAAGCACAGAGACATAATGGGCAGGTTCTTTCACACCTTCTCTTAACAGGTAATGCATACAGCATATGAGAATAAGGAGTTCTTCAAAAGTAAGCTGTATGGGTACAACCCTACAGGGACCAGGCTGTTACTTAGATGAGTAAAACAGGTCTGAGAAGCAATGAGGTATATAACCTGCTCTAGCACAGTGTTGTCCTGGACTAATGAAGGTTCAGTATGAGCAGATCTCAAAACTGTTCAAGAGAAGCTAGAAATATTGGACTTTTTTTGAGGTGAAAAACTCTGATTTTTGTTGGCAACGAATCCAAAATTTTAAACGCTGAATAAGCCAAACCAAATACAGCTTACAGCCAATTTATTACATATGCTTATCTGCAGAGGTATATTGCTTAACTATCCAAGGGTCTTTATCAGGTACAAAGGGCCACCAAAATGAAGTGAGGAGCTTAAAAGAAGAAACCATGAAAACTACTCGGGGAAGGTGGGGAAAAAAAAACAGGAACCTGGGCTCATGTACAGATTCACAGCTGCCTTCACTTTTCTCAAAAGCCAGGGGGAATCCCTCAGAGGCTTAGATTCCCTAGTACTGGTGAATTATGTACGGAGGAAAAAAAACATTTGGGGTGAGGGCAAAAAAAAAAAAAAAAAAACACAACGAAATGTAGTCAGATGCCAAAGAACGTTTTCCAGAAAATTTGAAGGCCAATTAAAAAACGAAACGAATATAAATTTTCCCTGGCATAAATTTCATAGATACTTACATAGACTGTTTCTGTCCTCTCACATTTCTGTAAACCACTTTAAAGTCTACATCTCATTCACATATTCTCTATTATTATTAAACCAAGTACAACAAACAATTTTCCACCAGTTGGTAACTTTAGGTTCTGGGGACAGTCTTATTAGCACAAGTACCTTCCTTGCAACACATGTTTTGCAATATTAATGTTTATGAAAATACTTCTGTATACTTTATTTTACAAGACTTGTTCAGAGCTTTGTCTGTGACCATCTCAGCAACCCGCCTACTGGTAGAGCAATTTAAAGCCACTTTACAGAGGTACTGTTTGAAGGAAGGCTCCAAGGTCAGTTATTAAGCGCCAATTCGATGTAATGGAAACGCCAGGTCTCCTAATTTCCAAATCCCAAACCCCACCCACTGTCCTCAAACAACAGTAGCCTTCCATCCTAGGTACACATTAAAATCACTCTGGAAACTTTTAAAAAATAGCAATGCTCAGACCACGCCGGGACAGATTTGGTCCTTGGTATCTATATTTTTTAAATGCTCCCTAAATGACTTTACTGTGCACCCAGAGTTGAGAATCACTGCCCAGGAAAATCCCCAACAGGAGTCAGATCTCTGGCTTTTGGAGCTTTGAAGCAAGAAAACAATCTTTGCCCTAGGCTCCTGACCATGACCTAGCACAGGGGCCAGCAAACCTCCCCCTCAAGTGCCACATAAGCCACAGAGATCATCTGTTGCGTATTCCTTTTTTCCACAACCCATTAAAAATGTAAGAACAAGGCCGGCCCGTGGCTCACTCGGTAGAGTGCAGTGCTGATAACACCAAGGCCACGAGTTCGGATCCCATATAGGGATGGCCAGTTCACTCACTGGCTGAGCGTGGTGCTGACAATACCAAGCCAAGGGTTGAGATCCCCTTACCGGTCATCTTTTAAAAAATATATATATATAAGAACAATTCGTAGCTAGAGAGCTGTAAAAAAACGGAGACCCCTGACCTGGAGAGCTGAATGTAAGAACAATTCGTAGCTAGAGAGCTGTAAAAAAACGGAGACCCCTGACCTGGAGAGCTGAAGTCGAAAAGGCAGCCCTAAAGAGATAACGGATGCGCGGGGCCTGCGGGCCCGGCCGCACTCGCCACCCCCGGACCTCAAGGTCGGGCGGGGCCTCGGGCTGCGTAGCTCAGTGCCTGCTGCATCCTCAGGAGCAAGACCGTGACCAGGTAAAGAAAGGCCGCCTCCACTCCAAAAGCGTCAAGCCTCCACCTGGCCTACCACCCCGCAGCGCCGGCCCAGGCCGAGGGCAGCCTGTTTCCCTCCCCCGTCCCCGGCCCAAGCTGCCCGCGCGGGGCTCGCGGAGCAGGCCCGGGCGTTCCCTCTCCGCACCCCCGCCCAGCCCCCGGAGACCTCGGCTGGTGCCCTTCACGGGGCCGTCGCCCTTCAGCACGCACACGGCCTTCGTCGACATGACTTGCGGGGAGTACGTTCCGGTCCGGGCTCCGAGGGCACCCGAGAGAGTAGACGCCACAGAAGACGCCGCAGGAAACGGCGGTACACACCGAGGCCGCCCCGCCGCGACTGCCTTATATCTGGTCCTTCACGCCCCGCCCACCCTGGCGCTGAACCAATCGCCCCCCGCGCGTTCAGCCCGCCCCCTACGGCGGCCCCGAGACGTGAGTGGCCGGGAATGGCCGGGGACGCGGCAAGGGGCAGCGGGAGGGACCTGTCCTCGGCGCCTCGCTCTTACTCCGCCTTGCGGCCCTGAAAGGTCTAGAATCCCCAAACCGCAGGGTAAAGCAGCCTCTCTCTTCCGAAGGATGTAATCCGCGGATGGCGTAAGCGAAATTGGAAAAAATGTGTACATGGTACGCCTTGAAGGAAGATACTTTATCCAGAAATGTCATTAGTTGTGACTGACTTTGACCATAGAGTCTCATGTTTTTTAGAAGTTAGGGCACACTGAGATGCATCCATTTTTTATTGTCCTGTTTTCTTGTTTTCTGATGGTGTATAGAGTCGGTACATCTAAATTCCTGCCCTGCAGTTTTCTTAGTGTTACTTATTTGGTTAGCAGAATTCTGTATTCTTTTCATATTTTTCCTGTTTGGCAAAGCCACAACCCTAAAGATACCAAAAGGCAGCTGATTGGCTTTTACGCTTCTCCCGAGTTTTTGTCTGACTATAGGGCCACGGCACTCGAGAAGGGTGGAATGGTTAAATAATTCATAATACCTCCATACAACAAGAGAGATGAATATTACTTATACTAGTATTTATACTAGTATATATATATATACTAGTATATATATATATATTACTTATACTAGTATTTCAAGGAAAATAATTTCAAAAACGTTATGAAATGAGCAAACAATAGACTGCTTGCGTGTTTGTGTGTATGTGTGTGTTTAAGTACCAACGTATGTTTACTTGTGTGCTCAGAAGTGTCTAGAAAAATACCTTCAAGGGCACTTCAAAAAGTTTGTGGAAAGATTTGTATTATCTTTTAATTCTATTTTTCCACGAACTTCCTGTGGAACTCTCGTAGGAGCCTGTGGGTACCTTTCGAGAATGGGAATTAAACTTTTACTAATGTTCTTCTCTTAGCATTTTTTTCATAGTGAATATGTATCTGTCAGCAACAGTATGGCTTAGATTTAATTAGAAGAAGAATCCTCGCCTTCCACCCCCCCAGCACACACTTCCATTGGGAGAGTAGTTTGCTAAACCGTGGGAAGAAGGTGGGAAAGAGCGTTCATCCTCCATCCCCACAGGGTGTACCTGGGTAACAACACAGGGGGAAGAGGTGAGGTTCGCTCCACCTGGAAGCCGCCTTAGACTCATCTAAAGGGCTTGTTAAACCGCAGATGACCGTGTTTCTGACTCAGCAGGTCTGAGGCAGGGACCCAGAATTTGCATTCCCGAGGTGGCGCTGATGCTGCCGGTCTGAGACCTCACTTTGAGCGCCTCTAACCTTTTTCATCCCTTGGGAAGTACACAAGTTGGCGCCCAGAGCAGGAACTACTTGACTCAAAAGAGGAGTTGGGGAAGGTGTCCTGAAAGGAAACAAGAGACAAGGATACCCAAAAAGGGGCCAAGAAGGGACAGAGAAGACCTATTCCTACTGAGGATTTCTTTTTTGCTTGCTCTGTGGCATTTAAATCCTCCCCTATCTCCCCGCAAGCTCATCAGTACAATCCTCATTTTCCCTAACGCTCAGCAGGCATGATTTAGTTTTGAGGCAAAATACTAAGGCTTAATTCAAGACCGGTGTGAAACAAGAACAGAAGCTGCTCCAGCCATGTTTGGCATACATGTTTTTTTTATTTAGACCCTTGGACTCTAATGTATCCTCTATCAGGTACACAGTTCACATGTTTTATCATCTTCTAGAAAGTGTACATATTTGTAATTTTGCTTGTTGTACTTACTAGTGTTCTCCAGACAACTGGCATATGCTAGCCAGTTGCATAAACATGCAAATGCTAGCCAAAGGGCCTTTGCCTAAGGCCAAAGTTTCTTTGGGTTCCAGGAAGTTTGAAAGACAGATTTCAGTTTCTTGTAAACTTGCCAAGGAAACAGCCCATGGATATAAAGAGCTGCCTTGGGATTGCAAGTTACACCTCTTTTGAGATATTCAGACAAAGCCTGCAGGGCCCCTTGTTTGGGTCCATGGAAGGGCTTTGCATGCTGCAGGGCTGGAGAAGTTCGGAGGTTCCTTCTGGTACCACCCTCACACTGGGCAAGGAAGTCCCTGGTCCTGGGCCCCACGTTCTACAGGGCCCTGGACTGTCCCTCTTTAGGCAGTATCTCCCATGGGGAAAAGAATATGCTGAGGCAGAGAGGGTGCTCCAACCCAGAATTTCATCTCTCCTTCTAGAACAGGGTTGAGGAATTTATATGATTTTTAACAGTATTTGTGACATCCTCACGCAGGCTGTCTAACTTTGGCACTATTGACATTTTGGGCCATGTAGTTCCTTGTTGAGGCAGTCCTGTACACCGTAGGATGTTTCGTAGCATCCCTGGCCTCCACCTGCTAGAGCCCAGTAGTATTCCTTCCCTCCCCCAGACTGTGACAACCAAAAATGTCTTCAGATGTTGCCAAATCACTCCCAGTTGAGAACCACTGTTCTAGAATACCAGTTGAGTGCTCAGGACCCTGGAATTCCCTGCCCAAATAGCCCTGAGCCTGTTTCTAGGATCCCGAATGGGCCAATGAGAGACTGTGCCATGATGGTTAGACAGCCAGGTTTGACCATAGGTAACCCCGTGTGACCAGGAGCCAAAGGTGGACAAAGAAGGAAAGGCCAGAACAGGCAGCTGGCTGTCCACTGCCACCTTCCTGCACAAAACTCAAAGAAGTCCAAGAATTCCACATTTGAAACTGCCTTCCAGGTCTTTATGAAGGTATATTTGTTAGGCAGCTAGATAGGATATATTTTATTTAGCTGAATTATCTTGATTTATGACATCTGAATATTATATTTAGCATATAGTACAATGACCTTCATTGTCCATTGCTCTTGTCCCAGGCCTACAAATGTTAGGAAAGGCCTATTCATTCCAACTCTGACATTTCATGATCCTACAGGTTTGGGGTGTTTCTGCCTCAACATGTAGTCATAGAGTTTAAGTATTTCAAGCTGGGGTGTGAATAGAAGACTCAGACATGTAATTTTGAAAAGTTTACTCTTGTACCAGGACAATTCCATTGAGAGTCCTTATCTCCAAGAAGTCAACAGAATCCTAAAGTAGCTTGGATTGTCCTGAACCTCAGAATGTGGCTTGAATCTGATGGTCAGCAGGTGGCACATGTCATCCAGAAGATGGTCTGATTTTGCCTGGAATGAGGAGGAGGTATAGATGCCTTGGGTCAGACTGCAGCATGTGCAGATAACTAAGGAGCTTACAATGTGTCATTCCAGCATTTCTGAGAATGAAAATCTGAGTTTGGGGCCCTCTGTGGGTAGGGAGTGAGCAAAAAGGTAGACCAGAAGTCCAGTCTTATATTTCCATTCTCTTTTTCCTCCTCTTCCTTTCTCAAATCCCACTCTTCCACTTTCCCCTGTATCTCATCTTTCTCTTCCTCTAAATTATTTTTTCTTCTGTGACCCAAGGCAGTTTCCCTTTACATCTTCATCATTCTCAGTAAATACATAGTTTCCGGTTCATCTTCTTCATTATTACAGATCACAAAGGGATTATCACCAAGGCCTTTGCTCCAAGGTCCTCCCAAAACATCTTTTTCATATGAATTGCAAGAAAGTGTCAGAACTTGGTGAAATCCAAAAGAAGCAAAGTACAAAGAGATAGTTGTTTTTTAAGGCTAAGAAACAAATACACTAATAACTAGGGAGCAAATTAGGAAAGAGTTAAAAGTGGTATTAGATAGTCCTATCTGCATATACTTAATGTAAGTAAGTAAGTAACAAAAACCAAAAAGCTGTTATCAATAAAGAAACACTGTAAGGCTGGCCAGTTAGCTTACCTGGAAGAGCATGGTGCTGATAACAACAACATCAACGGTTTGGAGTCCCATACAGTACAGTCACAAAAAAAAAAAAAAAAATTAAAAAGAAACACTGTAAGATTATGCCACAAAATAATGAAGTATCTCAGGCATTTTTGAAAGCTGAAGAGAGAAAAATATATAAATTAATTTAGATTGTTGGTAAGCAGCAGTGAACAGCTTGGGATTAGAAGTTTGCAAACTGTAAGAGTTAGCTGTATATCAACTCATCTTGGAAGTGATATATGTCCTGTGCTATCTGTCAGCAGCAGCAGCCTGGCTTCTGCCTCCCCTGTGGCCCACTGGAACACCTAGGATAATTCTCTCTGGACCTCAGCTGTAAATCAGAGGCATCTGGGCACCTGACTGCACATTCAAATCATCTGGGGAATTTTCTCAAAAAACAGTCTTGGGCCCAATTATACTAAAATCTTAAAATTGCATATATTTATACTGTAAATGCACATTACATTGCTGTAAGATATGTAAGAAATTACCAACGGTTATCATTGGAAATGGGCTGTCTATCTTGGCACTTTTTATCACATGAGAAAAATAAACTTTTATTTGGTTACACAAGCATAACCAGATTTCTGTTCCATGCAGTGAAAAGCAATTTCTAGTGGACAGAGATGAGAAGTCAGCAAAGGAGTTTTAGCAGAGAGTGACATGATTATGTTCCGGTGAAAGAATGGTCTATCTGAGTGGGTGAATTGAAAGGAGATGGAGTGAGACTGAAGACACAGAGGCCACTGGGGAGACATGATGAGGAAACCAGCCTTAGGTTGTTACTGCAAGAAAGAGGAGAGACGATGGAAATGCAACCTCAAGTTCCAGCAACTCATTAGATGCACAGGGTGAGAGAGAGCTTCGGAAGGCAAAGGCAGCCCCAAGTTTCTCACTTAGGTGACTGGGTGTATGATGGTGCTATTTACTAAGGAAAGCAGGCTTAGGGACAAAGAGCTCAATTTTGGACACAATGCATCTGGGGTGCCCGGAAAACCTAGAAATGCCAAGCTGGAAGAGTATATTTGGATATGGGTCTGAGCCTCAGGATCATTCCTAAATCT